CCAGCTCGGCCAGCTGCCCCCCCTCCAGCACGGCCACCCTCTGTGCCCGCAGGGCCAGGGCCACCTGCCCTGTCACCAGCAGCACCGCGCGCCCGGCCCCGCTGCCTCCAAAGATCTCCTGCTCCACCTGCAGCGGGTGCCATTGTCACTCAGGAGCCCAGGGATGGGGACACAGAGGACATGGGGTGTGGGGACTCAGGGGACGTGGGGAGTGGGGATCCAGGGGACACACGGAGCAGGGTCCCAGGGGGCCCAATGAGCAAGGGGACATGAGGAGTAGGGATTCAGGGGACATGGGAGCAAGGGACCCAAGGGACATGGGGAGTGGGAATCCAGGGGCACACAGGGACCCAGGCAACATGAGGAATGGGCATCTAGGGGACACCAAGAGCAGGAACCCAGGGATCATGGGGATATGGAGATTAATGGGACACTGGGAGGAGGAACCATGAAGACACAGGGACCACGGGGCACAGGAACCATGGGACATGGGGGCCAAAGACCAAGGGAACATGGGGAGCAGGGACCCAGGTTCATGAGGACTGGGGACTAAGGGAACATGGGACTGAGGACCCAGGGGACACTGGGAGAAGGAACACAGGGGGACACCCCCAAGACCAGGGATCTTCTGGGAGAGGGACACAGGGTATGCCAGGACTGGGGATGAAGGGGACCCGGGGACACTGAGATTGTGGACCACGGGGACACAGACACCAGGGACCAAGGGGACAATGGAAAAGGGGATCCAGGGGGCCCCCCTGAGATCAGGGGGCTGCTGGGAGAGGGACCCAGGGGACAGAGAGACCAAGGGTCCATTGGACATGGGGACCCAGGGACCAAAAGGGCACGGAGTCAAGGGACTGGAACTGGGGCCCAAGGGGGACCCCTCAGGACCAGGGGACTGCTGGGAGAAGGACCTAGAGGACCAGGGACACAGGGGACATGAGAACTGTGAACAAAAGGGACCCAGGGCCCAGGGAACACTGAGACTGGGAACCAAGGGGACACAGGGAACAGGAACCCAAGGGATTACAGAAAGAGGGGACGCAGGGGGACCCCCAGGGCCTGGGGTGCTGCTGGCCAGGGGGACCCAAGGGGACATGGTGTCACCGCTCACCTGCCGCTGGCTCTCGGCATCCAGGGCACTGGTGGGCTCGTCGAGGACCAGGACACGAGGGTCTCTCAGCAGGGCACGCGCGATGGCCACCCCTTGTCGCTGTCCCCCGGAGAGCTGCCCCCCCAGCTCACCCACCTCTGCACGAGACACGGCTCAGGAGGGGGGACACACGGGGACTCGGGGACTCGGAGGGGGACACGTCCTACCTGTGTCATATCCCCGGGGCAGGCGGGTGATGAAGGTGTGGGCACCCGCCCTGCGCGCCGCGGCGGCCACCTCTGCGCGCCCCCAGTGCCGCGGCCCGTACGCGATGTTGGCGTGGAGGGAGCGGGAGAAGAGCACGGGGTCCTGGGGGACAGCGGCCACCTGTGGAGAGGGGACAGCTGGGGACACGGCGGGGACACCGCAGGGATGTTGCTGCGGGCATGACTGGGGATGTGGTTGCGGCGAGGATGGGGATGGGACAGGGACAGGTGGGGATGGGGCAGGGACAGGGGGGGGGGGGGGGGGGGCAGGGGGGGGGCAT